CCTCCAAGTACCCTCAAATAGGGGTACATGGTCCCAAGTTCAGGGTTTGTAGAGTCTAAGAGAGGGTAGATGGAGGGAGTCCCCTAATGTAGGGGCCTAAATAATTAGAATAATAGGGTTTTGGGGGTTCCTTATTATAATTATAGTACAACATACCCCAAACCCTATCTGATTATTAAGGAGCTTCTTGGAGCTTCGGGGGTAGGAGTCGGCTGCAGTTTTCTGGTGCAGGAGTGCCTCGTCAGCGTGGTGAGTGTGATGCAGGCAGCCTACGATGGCCGGAGCCTTCGTGGAAAGGGCTCTGGCTTCAGGACGGCGGCGGTTCGCCGAAGCATTCCAACACACTGCGCTGAAGAGCTCCCAACACGCCTGCCACGCCCCTCCTAAGACCCTTAAGGCCAGGACCTCATGCAAACCAAGCAACGCAGACGCAAGCTGGGATCCGCTTCCTTTCAAAAAGCCTTAAGGTCACTACCAACACCAGGGCGTCGTCCGTGACGTCTGCAACTCCGCTGCATTGAGGTCAACCCGAGGCCACAAGAAGCTTAGCGGGGATGAGCACGCAATGCATTGGGGTTCCTCCCAAAGCGAGCGTCCCGTGGTGTATGAGATTTTGGATAATTTAATTCATGCCTCATATTCAATATAATATCAGCTTGAACCGGTATGCTGAAAGGCGCTTTAGCCTACAACGACGCCCAGATACCTGTGTGTTGAGGATTTGTGCAGGCTTGAATGGCTAGAACTGAACAACAGACATCGGAAAGGCTCAACAGCATCGTTAAGTTTCTGAATCAGGTCCTTTAATTGCACATCGAGCACAACATCTTGAAACAGCCATGCAAGCAGATGCGTCAGACACACTTTCCATTTTCGAAGCTCTGCAGACACGCCGAAGAAAATCGTGGAAATGCACTCCAATGTAGACTGCCTCTAACGAAGATGTTTAAGGAGGTATACGCCAAAGTTTGCAGAGGATCCACCATGAGGACGTCGCTTGTGCTTCAAACCGGCCAGAAACATTGTTCAATGTGAGATTTCAGTGCCACCCCCCTCCCCCTTAAATTGCCCCACCCTAAACCCCATCCCTATATAATCAGCCCCCGCTACCAGGTTTCCTCATGCGTGCGCTGCTGGAGCCCCGCTGCCCATCGAACAGCCCGGAGGCTGCGCCGCTGACGCGCCCTAATGTAGGGGCCTAATTGATTGCCCATAGTATTTTGGGGCTTCCTTATTTTACTTATAGTATAATGGGCCCCGAAACCCTTTTCTAATTATGAAGGCCCCTAAACCCTAAACCCTTATAGTAGCCCGAATAGAGAGCCCTTTCAGGAACCCCCCAAAACCCTATTCTAATTATTAAGGCCTCTATCTTATTCGGCCTTGAACCGACAACCCAAGAGTCGGACATCATCCCAAAAGCCCAGAGAGCCCAATACTCCTTAATTGAGGAATAGACCTTAAATTATCGGGGCCTTAATATTATGATTTAATGTATATTCCTTATTAAAGGGGTATTGGGCTCTCTGGGAGTATGGTGCAACAGTGAAGCACCGGAGGGGCCTTCAAAGAGCACCGGAAGCTTCGATCCCAAGCCGGAAGCATCGGAAGCCTCAGTCGTAAGCTCAAAACAGTCAGAGAAGGAGAAGCTGGCATTGAATTAGAACTAGGTTCCCCAGTAGTACCCTTTTGCCCTTTTTCGTTTTGGGTTCCCTTATTAAAACCAAATAGTAGGAAACAGGGTACCCTTATTTTTCAGGGGCTACTTGGGAATCTAGAGAATGGCCTTTGATGGCTTTCGTGTGTTTAACGGGGTCGATCGCTGTTGGGGTGGTTTCGCGGTGCAGTGTAGGTCGTGCCGGTCTTGATCCGTGGCTTGTTCTTGTTATTTCAGGTTGGGGTTGTCTCAGTTGGAGTTCCGAGACCCAGAGATCGAAAGATGGCGCAACTTCCGCATTTGGCCTGGGAGCCTTGTGTTCTAACGCTGCAGAGTGTACGGCTTGAGAACCCTGAGGGTCCATGTACCCAGATGGTATACAGTGACCCCAAAGTACTGATATAGGGACTACTTTAAGGCCAAAGGATATTTATTTGGGTACATGGACCCTTATAGAGCCTTAGGGGAATATGAGGAATATGAACGTCAATGGCGGCCCCGCCGAAGTTTTGGCGGGTTCCTGTCTCTGTCGCAGCTTCGACATCTAGGTTCGAGCCGTGGCTGCCTACATCTATTAAGACAGAAACCCCTGAGGCGATGATTTGTAGTGGTCGCCCTAAGCCCCAAGCCCCGAAACCCTAAACCCT